GATAGAGGAACCAGAAGAAAATTAGGTCAGTTATATAAAACTAAATATATATTTTTTATATTCCTAATCTAATTCCACTTCTCTCTCTCTCTCTCTCTCTCTCTCTCTCTCTCTCTCTCTCTCTCTCTCTCTCTCTCTCTCTCTCTCTCTCTCTCACTACTATATTAATTTTACATAAATGGTTGCATATGCCAGAGAGAAATAGAAAATTAGATTTAAAAAATATAAGAGTAAAATTAAGGCTAAACATTATTAAAGAGTTAAAATTTAGAAACAAGTGGAGAGCTTACTAAATTGTGACTATAATATTATAACATATTGTTAATTGTTTATAATTAATTTGTTAATTTCTCAATATTAAAAGCTGGTTGATTGTTTTAGATTTACAAGAAAAGAAGATTAAAATTCCGATTCTTCAGCACATACATACAAACAACTTTCGTACAAACAATGATTCGTACTTGAGTGAATATTGTTTTCGTGTACGAAAATTGTTGGCTCAAGAATTGAAATTTCTAAAAGAAAAGGAAGCAAAAGAAGAATGACCCGGAGGACGAGGATGGAAAACAAAAGGCACTTTTAAGCGCCAACTGGTACTTTTCATTGGCTAAACAGCACTGAAATGTCCCACATTTTTAATTATTCGACGATGGAAGTCTCTATTCGCATTAAATCGGCACTTTTCAATGCCACATATGAAATTCAACTCGATTAAATCGGCATTTTTCAATGCCACTGTAGGCCTATTTTCTAATACTCGAAAGCATTTGATTGACCAATTAAAATAAAAGAATCTTTGGTCATCCTTATTGATCAATGAAGAAGAAAACGTTTTAATCTTTATTGATCAATAAGGATGACTAAAGATTCCTTTATTTCGATTGGTTAATCAAATGCTTTCAAGTATTTTTAGTGCCAAGTTGAACATAGTTTAATAATTAATTGGATTTCTAGGTGAATGCCAACTGGACTGACCCATTATTTAGCCGAAAGTTGAGACCAACTGCACATAGACATTTAATTGAAATTCCTGTAAGTTTTATTTTTCTATTAGATTGTTTAATAACATTTTATATAATAATAATTTATAAATATATCTATGATACTCTTATTAATTTTCTTTGTTATTGATCTATTATTGAGTCAAATGATATAAGCATATATATTAATAAAATCCGTGATTAATGTATAAAAATAATAATTATGCAATTGCACTGTTACACATTGCAAATAACATATGCAGAAAACTCAGAATAACTAATTTGTCTTGCTTATTTTTCTTTCTTTATGATGCATCAGTATCGCTATTGCATTTTGATTAATCAATATTGATTAACATAATATTCACTATACTCTGATAATCTTTAAATTGCTCTATCTTCAGATGAATTATTTGTAACCAAGAGAATTCTCTATCATCGATTCTCTATCGGAGAATAGTGTTTTTTATGTTATGTTAATCAATATTGATTAATGAAAATCCAATAGCGATACTGATGCATCATAAAGAAGTAGAAACAAGTAAGACAAATTGCTTTTGAGTCTCATGCATTGTTTTTCTGATATTTGTAGTGATATAAACAGAGTTGTGATCGCATGCTCTTGAAGAATGCCTTTGTAGGTGGTACCGGGGGCGACTCGTTTATAGTGCGGAGGATAGTCCAAAGAGAGGGTTTTTTAGCTGGTATTCCCGCTTCACGGGTGAGTCCGGTATAACCATCTAGGACCGGTCCTGATGGTACGCGTAAATGCGTTTTTCCCTACTCTCGGAGAAAAAAAGAGTGTGATCGCATAATAACTATTTTTATACATTAATCACGTATTTTATTAATATATATGCTTATATAATTTGACTCGACAATAGTTCAATAACAAATAAAATAACAATAATTACAAATAATAACAATATTACAGATATAATAGAAATCCAAATTTTTGCTTATTTCCTGGAAGAAGGAAGAAGAAAAATTGCATAGCCAATCCTCCTTTAAAATATTAGATGTTTCTACGTTTGAGGAATTTGAGTACTTGCTTGGAGAAGAGAGCTACTCAGCTCTATTAGTATAAGAAAGGTGATGTCGATTCACCTCGATTCCGATTAATTAAGTTTTCGGAATTTTATAATTTTTATAATTATATAATTGAATAGAGGTCTATATAGAATGTAGATTAATATAATAGAGCACTTCTCTATGGTTATACATACATATAATAAATTTGATTAAATAAAAATATAAATATATAAATATGAATATAAATATAAAATATATACTTAATAAAAAAAGTTGAAGAAAATTGCTTAAATATATTTTCCTTTCCTTTATAGATAGATTAATAATATTAATTTCAGTGCGGATCGTAATTAATTAATGAAGTCATTAAAAAGGCTTTAATTAACAGTAGTAGTTATTTGTTTTAAGTGAATATATATTAAAAAATTAAATCTATATGTTTTTATTAATATAAATAATAAAATATATAGAAAATTTAATTATTTATATTTATTTACTTAAATAAAATGTAATTACTACTTTTAATTAAAACCCTTTTAATTAATGATCTCATTAATTAAATTAAGTACCATCTGCACTGTTACGACAAGCTTTGCTTTCTTCTTGCTACAAATTTGCTATCACGCCGTGCACAACAAAGCTTGTTCCGTTACTTACGTGAATTTTGCGTCTCGTCGTGCTAGGGTAAACTTTACTCTATTTTTACCACAAAATTGCTATCACATTGTGCAGGGCAAAGTTTGCTCTGTTATTTGCATGAATTGTGCGTCTGGTTGTGCCAGAGCATACTTTGCCCTCTTTTTGCCACAAAGTTGCTATTATACTGAGCAGGGCAAAGTTTGCACCGTTATTTGCGTGAAGTGTGTGTCTCATTATGCCGGAGCAACCGTTCCCCTATTTTTGCCACAAAGTTGCTATCATACCGTGCAGGGCAAAGTTTGCTCCGTTATTTGCGTGAATTGTGCGTCTTGTCGTGCCAGAGCAAACTTTGCTTTATTTCTGCCACAAATTTTCTAACACATTGTGCACAGCAAGACTTGTTCTATTATTTGCATCAATTTTGTGTTATGCTGTTACGACAAGCTTTGCCAACAAAAGATAGGCTTAATGCGGACACACCTTGTCGCAATTTTGCTACAAAGGCGTGCTCGAGTTTGTTACAAATTTTGCACAAAGTTTGCATCATTTTGCTATCTGGGGATGTTATGCTCTCTCGACCAATCGGCATGCAGTGTCCACTTTAAGCTCCGGATAGTAAACGCAATGTACAGATTACAAACTCCATCGCAACTCACCGCAAACGGCTGGTACGCAGAAGCCACCACCGAGGACCTTCCGAACTGATAGCTCTCCGGGAGGAAATTGCCGTGCGTCTTCCATCTGTTTGGAACAACGGCGCGCGACGCGTGGGG